CTTCCTTCCTTCCTTCCTTCCTTCCTTCCTTCCTTCCTTCTATATAAAATCAGAAATTTCCATGCATAGGGATGGCAAATGGGTTAGGAATTGGGAATTATGAAATTAGCATTGGGAACTGCTTTGTTTGAGTTTGATAGCTTGTACTTACTTAAGCATTTCTTACAACCCTTATTAGTACATTAATCTTTTGCTGGAGGCACACAATATCTTGACCCATAAGCTAATCAGATGGACCGAGTTTATACAAAAAAAATACTGTTGTTGTTTTGTTAATGTTTAATGAATATTAATCAAGCTTAATGGTTTATGGGAATGTACCTTGTCTGGAAAATAGAATATAGCCATTATCTATTCTAACTGATTTATTTATTTATTTAGATTTCATATTTCTTAACCACCCATCTCCCTCTTTCTAAGGCTTTCAGAGGGCGTGCCAGGAATTGAAGTGGGGCTTTCTACATAAGTCTATGAGAATTGAGTTGCTAATACATGGAGAACCACTAGATACCAGCAAAGGACTTCCTGTAGCTCTTTGCTGCCATCTGGTGATCATGCATATTTTTGCAGAATGACTATGGTAACCCTAACTGAGCAATGACCCTCCTTCTGTTCAGTGGGGGCAGATAGTGGAGAGACAATGATTTCCTTGCTCCTCCAAAGAACACTGCACTCTGAAAATGTTAATTGAAATTACCAAGGATTTTTCGCTTGGGTGACAGCTCAAATAAAACATGCAGATTGTTCAGATCTATTAACTGGAGGTGCCAACTTGAAGCTGTGATTTTTGTGTGCCAAATTTAAAGACAACTCCTGAAGAATACACAAGTTCATCTAACTGATAACTCCAATTGACAGCAGGTCTCTAATACCCACAATAGGCAAAGATTTCTACAGAAGATTCTTTAATTAATTAGAGTGCAACTTTAGTAACTTTGCATGTAATTTATTCTTGGTCCTTTGTTGTGAGGCAGATTTAGGTGGAAACCTCATGCAGATTGTTTTTAGCTCTGCCAGTTTATAGTCTTCCTTATCACCTCCTCAGGATACTGATAACATGCATATTTTACTTCTTGAACTTGTTACACAGTGGACTAATCTGGTCTCCCAGTGATACTGTTAAGATAAAAGTTAAGATTTAAAATAAAAAATATTAAAAACAATTCTAAAATAACATATTATTAAATGCTTGTTTCATAACTTTTAGGACCCTTTATAAAGGGGGCGTGCATAAGCGCACCAACGTGCCTACCGTCCCTGTCCTATTGTTTCTCTTATTCTTTTATTTTTCTTATATGTACCCATTTCATGTATTCACAACTATGTATACACTTATACTTATTATCTTGTAAACAATTGGCAAATCAAATAAATAAATAAATAAATAAATAAATAAATAAAGGATGAGAAAGAGCTACAATAGGCCTTCTCAATTCAGTAAGAAGTATGTTCCAGTGTCCCAGTGAAGCATCTATAGAGAAAACTCAGCTCAAGATAAACTGCCTTGAATGGTGTGTGTGTGTGGGCGGGTGTGTGGGTGTGTGTTGTGTGTATGGGTTTGTGGGTGTGTGGGTGTAGCAAATGATCAAATAGAAGGAAATAAGTTGGATCCAAATCTTTACAGGAAATACATTCCTTATGTCACTGGGATACACATTTCTAACTAGGGGGATGCTTTCCATACAAAAAATGATATTTATTTATTCACAAGACTTATAGATCATACCATTCCTGCCAAGAACAATTCCCCAATATGTAATTGTAATGAAGAAAACATATAATCAGTTTTTTTTTAAAGCCACTAGAATATGGGAATCATCAATAAAATATTATTGATAATGAAAAGAAAGCTAATTTCACCAGAAGACAATTACCTCAAACCAGCCAGGAGGCCTGGTGGAACAAAGTTTTCATCAACTTCCTAAAAAGCCAGAACGGAAAGAAATAACCACTCATCAGAGGAGCTCTGTTGGCGACTAAAAGCATATTTATGTGGCCTTTGAAGGTTACAATATCTAATTGAGGGGATATCTAGTGAGTCCACCCTACAGGGCTTTCTCAGGTAGGCAGATGCTGCGGGGAAAAGGTAGTATTCAAAAACTCAGGCCCTGAAACATGAAGGACTTCAAAAGTGGCAATCAGCATCTTGAATTGTCCCCAGAAGCCAACTCTGAGTAGAGGTGTTATGTTAGCACCTTGAGGCGTGTCTATCACTACTTGCATTCTGTAGCTTCCAGACACTCTTCAAGGAGAGCTCCATGTACGGTATATTGCAACTATCTCCTTGAGAAATGACTTAAGGCATGATTGACGGTGAGTAATACTAACTGTTCCAGGAAAGCTTACAATTGAAACACAGGATGGAATTGCGCAAAGGTTGTCCTAGCCACAGCTGTCTCCTGCTCTTTGAACAAAACCTGTGAGTCCAAGAAGTTCCCCAGATTCTGAATTAGCTCTACCTGGAGGAAGATTGCCCATTCTGAGTTATCAATGGAATCCCATTGGAGTCTTGCTGGATTTGCCTCAGTCTATTTGTCTGCATCCAAATCTGGAAAGCCTCCAAGCACCTTGACAGTACACTGATAGCATCACTTCTTTTCCAGGGATTAAGATGTACAGTATACTGATAAAACTTCACCTGATGCTGCTGACAATGCTCTACCCAGCAGTTTCTTGTAGATATTGAATACAAATGGGGAGAGCATCAAACCCTGCACTGCCTTCCTCCCATTAATGGGCCTACAATTCAGTGTTCCCCTCCAAAATTGTTCCATCACGAAGGAGAACCAGTGTACCACTGGCCTCACTCTAATCCTTGAAGACAACTCAGAAGGGCACCATGATCAAAGGTGTTGAAAATGGCTGAAAGACCAAGGGACACCAAGACTGTCACACTATTCCTATCCTGGTCCCACTAGAGATCACCAATATGCATCGTAATGCTGTCTCCATAGCGTTAATTAGAAACCAAGCTTGAAACCAGTCTGAAATGACTCCAGACTGTCTGTTTTCTCCAGGGCCTTCTGCAGTTGTAGCCCAACCACTTTCTCCGCAACCTTCCCCCAAGTATTACTTAGTCAAGTGATGGTTTCATTTCCTGTCTCAAGGACACATTTATCACCCCATGAACCAGTGGTGGGATTCCAATTTTTTTACTACAGGTTCTGTGGGCGTGGCTTGGTGGGCGTGGCAGGGGAAGGATACTGTAAATTCTCCAGTCAGAGGTGGTATTTGCCGGTTCTCCAAACTTCTCAAAATTTCCGCTACCGGTTCTCCAGAACTGGTCAGAACCTGCTGAATACCACTTCTGCCACGAACCATCTCATCCTTCGCTTTCCCTACAAGGTTTTACCAACCAGAAGGGGCAGAGGTCCAGACTGCAAGTGACTAAGCTGATACTGCAGGAGATCCTGTCCACTTCCTCAGGATTTACAGGATCAAACTCATGCCGCAAGATAGACCCCAGCCATCTCCTTTACATCTCTCCAGCTGGCTTCAGGCTTTGAGCTCACTCCAAGAAGTCTTTGAATTCTTCCAGAGAACCAACTTGACTTCTGCACTGGATAATAATTGATGTTTCCAGACCAGGCACAGGAACAGTTTTGTACGAGTTCTTGTCACATACAGCACTCTGATTTTAAAGCCATTTTCTTCAAGGAAGGGACATGGTCATCACATCAAATATAGTTGATAAAAGGTGCTCAAGTTCAGAAGTCAAAACATCCTCAAACTATGTATTTCCTCTTTATGGGAGAGCATTAAAAAATTAATTAATTACTGCTCATTCAACACTATATCTATTGCAAGAGACATTACACAAGCCACACGTACAATAGCCCTCCTACATACATAGCTAATTGTGGGAACCTTGCAAAAGTTGGCAAAAAGAATGCCAGTTCTTTTCTTTGCCTCCCTCTCCATCCCATTGCATTCCAGATCGAATCTCATTCATAATTTTCCTGACATTTTTTGCTCTGGCTCGCTGGTGTTCACTGCTGGAACCATTTGGGGACAAAACTATCTCCATCCGTATCCTACAAATGGGATGTGTGTTGGAAACCAAGCAGGTTTTAGGTGTTTGCCTCCCTTCCAAGTATGCCATTGCTTGGAAAATGTCAAGAAGAAAACAATAGATGTCACCTGTACTGTTTTCTGCAAACACAATAATGCTGGGCCAGTTGAGGTGTAAATGTGTGCCTGTCTCTTATGAATCAGTCAGAAAGCAAGAATACCAATCAACTGATAACTCCTTTTACTCATGTTTCCAAGAGTCAAGTTCCCCCTCCTCCCCACATTTATAGACAGTGTTTGTTCCAGCTGAAGCAAAACGACATTTGATCTATCAGGGTTAACAGGGAGTGTTTTGTAGAGAGCTGCTGTCACCAAGGAGAAGAGAACTTCAAAGTGGAAACACAGGAAAACACTGATCAGGGCATGCTAGGAGATTCTTCCTTTTCTGGATCCTGCTCCCAAAATTCTGAAAATCTCCTTATGTGTTTAAAATAGAAGAATAACTGAAACCTCTGGTTTAAGAGGAAAGCAAGGGTTCAAGCAAGTAGCCTTTTCTAAAGTAGCTGATAGTATGAAGACACCAAAATGCTGAGATGGAGATAATCTTGAGAAGATCTCTCAGAAGAGCCTAAAGGATCCACCTCCCTGGGTCTCTCCTGATTCTGTGAAATCCTGTGAAGGACAGGAGTGGGAGATGGGTATGTAAGCTTCGTCCTTAAAAAGACCAACAAGGTGGGTTCTTAATGCTATAAATGGTTGGATATACTCCTAATGATGGGTTGAACAACAACAAGAAAACATCTAAAACTCTAAAAACAGCCCAGCGGATTACAGGCGAAGCTCCATCAGGGATTCTGCCAGGAAGATGTCAGGGATTCAGGAAGCCAGCGTGCGAAGCATCCGCCCCTACAAGACTAGCGAACAATACTTGTATGCCATGAAGGAGGATTTGGCAGAATGGCTTAAGGAACTCTATGATGTTGGCATTGACGTGCAATCTTTTCTGGATGTCCTGGAAACAGGCGTCCTTCTTTGTCATCACGCTAACAACATCACCCAGGTAGCCAGAGACCTCAACCAGGAATATCCAAGTTTGGGCAAAAAACTCCAACTTCCCATATATGGTGTAACCTGTAATGATTTTGCTCAGCCGGGCACGTTCCAAGCTCGGGACAATGTGTCCAACTTCATTCAGTGGTGCCGAAAAGAGATGGATATTAAAGGTACACAGATTTGAATTGATATGCTGTGCAGTGCAGTGCTGTAAGAGAACATTGCTAAAAGTGAATTGTTTGATTGATTAAAATGTGAATACTCTTTTGCTGTCCTTTCTTGACTTTTCTTTTGCATTCCTTGTGATTTGTCTTTTCTATCGAATTGTGGATCATCCATTCAATTGTTAACCATTTCTTTCTAAAATCCAAACTCAACTTATTTAGAACACTGCATATATATAGTATACATTCATGCATGTATCTATCTCTCACTCTGTTAGAAAAGAAAAACAGAAGATGACTGAATTCCTAATGTTCCTTTGTCCTCAGATTTGTTCTGGAAATTTGGCTACACTCATACTCAAATTAATGAAAAGAGAAATTATATTCTCACAGTTTAATTTCCTTCTTTTCACCCCCATAATTCACTTCCGTTGTTGGTTCCCTATTAAATTGGTTGTTGCCATCAGAAAGAGCAGTGTTTGCAGTTCAGGATGATACCTGGGGATGCTTTTAACCAGAAATTAACCCTCATTAAATTGGGGATATGATGTAAATCTTCAAGAATGGAGATTTAGAAAGTCAGTTAACACATAGTTTAAGTGGAGGTAGAAGCTAGAAGACCGGAAAGACCAAATTTTAAAGCAATGTTTAAATTGTGTGGAATTCTTACTTGTATTGTGTTTTATCTGCCTCTGCTTCCTCTGTTGTATTTTTTTTCCCCTGACAAAGTAGAGGGGATGAAATGTTTGGGACCTTGTTCCCCACATTTTAACAGAATGGTATATTTTTGACGTGTATTGTTTTGGTGTGAAACTGCTGGTTTCTTGTGTTTTTCAGCTGCTTTATACAGTGGTTTCTGTTTGGGTTTTTAAAAAAGACATTTTTAAACAATATTTTTCATGCCAAGCAGGTGGACAATTATGGGAGTTGCTATCCCGAAGGGGAAAGAGTCAAGATGTTGGCCACCATCATGTGACTGAAACCCTGATCTCTTTCTTATTTGTGTCGCATATATTTCCCGTTAGGAAGAAGAATAATGAGAAAAGAAGAGCCTTCTAAGGCAGGGGTATCCAACCTTGGCAACTTTAAGACTTGTGGACTTCAACTCCCAGAATTCTGGGAGTTGAAGTCCACAAGTCTTAAAGTTGCCAAGGTTGGACACTCCTTTTCTAAGGCATTTAAAGGCTGAATCTTAGAACTTCACTTTCCATTATATATACACCTGAATAGGAAGGCAACTTGCCTTTTTTTGCAACTGTTCTCTCAATTTCTCCTCGATTGGCATGAATTTGGAGACGTTTTGGCTCTTCCACCCTTTCCATTGGCTCTCTCTCACTATTCTACTGGACTGCTTTGTCCGGGACTTAGGAACATTCATGGAGGACAATACAGGAGCCAAAGCTATAGCAGTCATGGAGCCCCCCAATTCAGAATCTGTGAGTAATACAGGTGATCCTCAACTTACGACCACAACTCAGCCCAACATTTATGTTGCTAAGTGAGAAATTTGCGAAGTGAATTTGGCCCCATTTTATGACTTTTCTTGCCACGTTGGTCAAGTGAATCACTGCCGTTCTTAAATCAGTAACACCGTTAAGTGAATCTGGTTTCCCCACTGAGTTTGCTTCTCAGAAGGTTGCAAAAGATGATCACGTGACCCCAGAACATAAATGTGAGTCTGTTGTCAAGCATCTGAATGTAAACCACGTGACCATGGGGAGGCTGCAATGGTCATAAGTGTGAAAAATGGTTATAAGCAGAGGTGGTATTCAGTAGGTTCTGACCAGTTCTGGAGAACCGGTAGCGGAAATTTTGAGTAGTTCGGAGAACCAGCAAATCCCACCTCTGACTGGAGATTTTACAATATCCTTCCCCTGCCACGCCCACCAAGCCACGCCCACAAAACCAGTAGTAAAAGAATGTGAATCCCATCACTGGTCATAAGTCCCTCTTTTCAGTGCCGTTGTAACTCTGAATGGTCACTAAGTGAACTATTGTAAGTTGAGGACTACCTGTACGAAATGGCTGAAAACTACCATGAGAAAAGTTTGTTGAGTTGTCAGAAACTTCCTGGCCACCCGAGGTGGCAAATAGATTTCAACTAGAATCATAAGCATTTTATTTATTTTCATTTATTTATTTTATTATTCTATTTATTATTTATTCAATTTCTATAGCTGCCTATCTCAACCAGACTCTGGTCAGATGACAACCCCAAAACTAATAAAGCAGTTAAATCCATTTTAAAAACCCAGTAAAATTAAACAAAAAACTCACACACCTTTAAACAATATACAAATGCAATTCAGTACATAATCTTCCTTGGACTTCGGTATTCATCAGACGATCTGGGCAGCAACATCTATGATTCACAAAAGTGGGGGGGGGAATTTGCTGGCTGCAAAGGATGGTAGCTGTTACCCAATCAATACAGATAATAGCTGAAGGGGAAAAGCTACATTAGCAGTCAGAACCCAACATTCAATGTGGGTAGTTCATGGATGGCTTTCTCTTTGGTTCAGGGACAGAAGAGTCTTCTTTATCTGCTTGCCATTAATATGGGGGGCTTCATATGCAGAGCAACATCTCCAATAGCCTGTTAGATGGGAGCCATGATGTGGATTTTTTTTTTAATTTGTTTGTCAAACATGTACAAAATAACAAGTATAGGGATGAACATAAATGGAAACAAAGGAAGTAAATACAGATAAATGGGGACAGTAAGACAGGGATGGTAAGTACACTGGTGCACTTATGCACGCCCCCTTAACAGTGGTAGGATTCAAATTTTTTTTACTATCGGTTCTGTGGGTGTGGCTTGGTGGGTGTGGCTTGGTGGGCGTGGTTTGGTGGGTGTGGCAGGGGAAGGATGCTGCAAAATCCCCATTCCCTCCCCACCCCACTAACCTGCTTTCCAGCTCCATTCTCCTGTGCAGGGCAACAAAAAGAGACCCAGCCGATCAGTTGGGACTCAGGACAGGTGGCAGAGAGTAGATGGGGGGCGGGGCCAGTCAGAGGTGGGATTTGCCGGTTCTCCAAACTACTCAAAATTTCCGCTAGCGGTTCTCCAGAACTGGTCAGAACCTGCTGAATACCACCTCTGCCCCTTAAGGACCTCTGAAGATTGGGATGAGGTCCATGGTAGACAGTTTGATTGACACTTTGGTTGACATTTGATTGACAGTTGTATTAATATTTAATCCAGAGGAACGGCAAAGAACCTCATTCTTGTTCAGTAGAAGAATGGCTTGCAAGCGGATCATTTAGGTTATTAAATTATTATTCTTTTTAGTTCTATGCATGCCTCCATGAGCATTCTTTTGGGTACATCCCATACCTTTTTTTACAATACACTTATTGTAAAATTAATATTTTGCTCAAATTCAATGAAACCAAATAATTCCAATATGACACACAATAAATAAATGAATAATTCTAAGAATCGGTACATTGGGATTGGATTCTACAAATGGTGTTTGGGGCAGTAACATACAGGTTAGTCCTTGACTTATGATCATTGTTGGGACCAGAATTTCCATCGCTAAACCAGGCAATCGTTAAAGTGAGTTTTGCCTGATTTTACAATCTTACTCTGCCATGGTTGTTAAGCAAATCACTGCAGTTGTTAAGTGAATCATGCAGTCATTGAGCAAATCCAGCTTCTCCCCCTTGACTTTGGTTGCTGTAAGCTGGTTTGGAAAGTGGCAAAGGTTGATCAAATGACCCTTGAGGCGCTACAACCAAAGCAAATCCATTTAGTTATTTTGTTTCTTACTCAACTCTTCTTGGGAATCCATCTTTGCTCTGAGATCATCTTGTAGCAATTCTTATTTATTTTATTTTGTTATTTGTCAATCGCTTACAAGATAATAGGTATAAGTAAGTACATAGTTATGAATACGTGAAATGGGTACATATAAGAAAAATAAAAGAAACAATAGGACAGGGATAGTAGGCACGTTGGTGCGCTTATGCACGCCCCCTACAGACCTCTTAGGAAAGGGGTGAGGTCAATAGTAGACAGTCTAAGGTTAAAGTTTTTTGGGGTTTGAGGAAGAAACCACAGAGTCAGGTACTGTATTCCAGGCATTGACCACTCTGTTGCTGAAGTTGTATTTCCTGCAATCAAGTTTGGTGTGATTAACCTTGAATTTGTATCTATTGTTTGCTCTTGTGTTGTTATGGTTGAAGCTGAAGTATTCATTGACAGGTAGGACATTGCAATGTATAACTTTATATACTATACTATATGGACCGAAGGTGGCATAGTTCTAGGTTTTCTAGGTCTAGAATTTTGAGTCTGGTGGCATAAGGTATTCTGCAACGAGTAGAGGAGTGGAGAACTCTTCTTGTGAAATATTTCTGGACTTTCTCAATTGTGTTAATATCAGATACGTATTGTGGGTTCCAGACTGATGAGCTGTATTCGAGTATTGGTCTAGCAAATGTTTTGTATGTTCTAGTTATTAGTGTAATATTACCAGAGAAAAAGCTACCTAAGATTAGGTTAACAACTCTTAACGCCTTTTTGGCTATGTAGTTACAGTGGGCTCTAGCACTTAGGTCATTTAAGATGAGTACTCCAAGATCCTTGACAGAGTTTGGATCATCAACAAGGTCTTGTCTATTCTCCTCCTTTCTTCTCCTCACTGAGTTCAGCCTCTCTGGTGTCTTTCAGAGGTCCTGATGTTCGAGACGGAGGACCTGGTCTTGCGCAAGAACGAGAAGAACTTTGTCTTGTGTCTTCTGGAGGTAGCTCGGCGGGCTTCTCGTTTTGGCATGAGTGCTCCTGTCCTCATCCAAATGGAGGAAGACATTGAGGATGAGATCCGTGAAGACATGAACCTGCCACCGGATGAGACGCTTCTTCCCCGGCCCAAGAGGGAACCTCCTAACTTCAAGAATCTGGACCAGATGGTATGAGAGTCTTTAAGGATGGCTAAGCCCCTGATGCAAGCAGAGAAACCTGGTATCCTTTCCTCCTCGACTTGAGACTGGATTTGTATTTTCTTACAAAAGAACATTGGAAACAGCTGGAGAATCTGTTTCTAAACTATAACCCAGACCAGTAGTTGTTTTGTCTGGGTGTGGGTGTGATGCTATGTTATTCCATACCAGCTTCCTTTCTGTATGGTCTTAAGGTGTTCATTACCATTGATAAGCTGATTGTTTGTGTTCCATTATTTTATTTTGTTTTGTTTGTTTGTCAAGCATGTATGAGAAAACAAGTATAAGTATGAACATAACATATAAACATACAAGTATAACACAAAAGAATGGCTAGACACAAGTTATATGTGAAAGTCAAGATGTTTAAACTTAAGGGTAGCTCCAGAGGATCAGGGGCAGAAGGCTTATTAGTGCCACGACTAAACCAGAGGTGGTATTCAGCAGGTTCTGACCAGTTCTGGAGAACCAGTAGCGGAAATGTTGAGTAGTTCGGAGATAAATACCACCTCTGACTGGAGATTTTACAGTATCCTTCCCCTGCCACTCCCACCAAGCCACGCCCACAGAACTGGTAGTAAAAAAATTGGAATCCCCCCACTGGACTAAACACTTTTTCCCCGCTGTCTCCAACATCAGTATTTCTCACAATCCTCAACCTACGAAATTGGAATTTTTTATTTTTATTTTTTATTTGTCAATTGCTTACAACAGGGGTCCCCAACCGCCGGTCCGCGGACCGGTACCGGGCCGCGGAACAAGCCTTACCGGGCCGCTGGTTGCTGGGCGCCGCCATTTTTTTTGACGAAAAATCACTTCCGGTGACGTCACCGGAAGTGATTTTTCGTCAAAAAAAGATGGCGGCGCCCAGCTGACGCCGGAACCGGGCCGCGGCGCCCAGCTGACGCCGGAACCGGGCCGCGGCGTCGAAAAGGTTGGGGATCCCTGGCTTACAAGATAATAGGTATAAGTAAAAACATACACTCCCCTCAAGACCTCTTAGGAAAGGAGTGAGGTCAGTAGTAGACAGTCTAAGGTAAAAGGTTAAAATTTGTGGAAGAACTCCTAGAATTATATTTTAATTGATTCTTTCATTGTCTTCCATAGAAGGCATAGATCCACCTGACATTTTCAAATGAGGGCTAGTGATGAGGTCCCTATTAAAAAGGCCCTTCAACAGGGGATAGCAGCTAGATGGCCTTGGCTGTTCCTTATGCGGAATCAGACCTAGTTGGCTGGTGAATGAGAGACCACAAGGAATTCTTGGGAGTCAGCTGGAATACAATGGTAATAAATTATTAATCAGTTAAAACATTTGTATCAACTGCAAAAATTCCCTAATAGTTAACTGAGCAGATTCCCCCCAAAAAAACATTTCAGTGCAAACCCATTATATTATTTACTCTGCTATTATTTTCAATATTCTGCAACACCTTTGGTTTATTTTGGTTTCAGTAATACAGACATAATTGCCCTTTCTCAGTTACACTCTGGAAATCTAAACACACCAAGGCTGAGTTTATACAGGTAGTCATCGAATTATGACCATAATAAAGCCTGGAATGTCTATTTATGTCACAACAGTCGTAAATTGAGGATTGTCCATTTCCAGAAGTAACTGCCCACCCAGAAAGTCCCTCAGGGTTACATGCTTAGGTGATGTTGCCTGATAGGAATGAGATTTAGATTTATTGATTTAAGGGTTGATTGATTGATTGATTGATTGATTCATTCATTCATCACATTTCTATACTGCCCATCTCAAATAAGTGGCTCTTGTTTCTGCTTAGTTCCCACTCTGCCTTAGAGATGCGTTAAGGACTCATTTTTTTCCTTCTGGCATTACATCTGAATAAACATAAGTTGTTGTTTTTTATTCCCAGTGCTTAGGCATTTGCATGATATTGCAAATGGTGGTTTTTAATATTTAGTTTTATAATATAGTTTTATTGATTCTTACTGTTATTTGTCTTGTACTGCCCTGAGCTGTGTGCCAAATAATAAGTCTATATATGGGTAGTCCTCATTTAGTGACTGGCTCATTTAACAACCATTCACCATTACGGCAGTGATGAAAAAATAATTTTGCAAACAGTCCTTGCATGACCCTTGTAGATCTGTAAAGCAAAGGAAAGAACCTAAATTCATCATGTTTTACTTAACAATTGAGTTGCTGATCCCAGTTGTGGTTGCTAAACAAGGACTGCCTATACATTCATAATTTGACTCAATTGACTAATAGGGTTCAGCGGATAATTATCTAAACTGAGCCACGGTGGCGCAGTGGTTAGAATGCAGTACTGCAGGCTACTGCTGACTGCCATCTGCCTGCAGTTTGGCAGTTCAGATCTCACCAGGCTCAAGGTTGACTCAACTTTCCATCGTTCCGAGGTGGGTAAAACGAGGACCCAGATTGTTGGGGGGAATAGGTTGACTCTGTAAACTGCTTAGAGAGGGCTGTAAAGACCTGTGAAGCGGTATATAAGTCTAAATGCTATTGCAATTGCTAAATGACACAAAAAGTCTTTTTTTTCTTTAAAGTTATAGTTCTGGTGGGGTTTTTCAACTTGGAGGCAGGTTTACCTGATGCCTTTCATTATTAAGATGTTTATGATTTTTTTCTTTCTTTCTTCTGCTTTTCCTGAAGGTCCAGCACCTTGTAAGCCGGTGCACCTGTCCAGTTCAGTTCTCTATGGTCAAAGTCTCAGAGGGAAAGTATCGCATCGGTGATTCCAACACTCTCATATTTGTTAGGGTGAGTCAAGCTTAAACATTACCTTTCAGGAAGCAAGAATTTTACAGAACATCACATGTTGAGCTCTGAGGAGTAAAGATCTGCCTGGTGCCAATAGCAACCTCCTTTAATGAACAAACAACTACTAGAAGTCCAGTCTGTCCATTGTGCTGAGAAAAAAATAATTTGCATTTCCAAAATAAAAGCAACCTAGACGTATCCTTCAATACAGGAGTGTTCACAGAGTAGGGTCAAAAAAGTCAAGATGGTGACCAAGATGCTTTTTTTAAAGAGGCACCTGGACTTTCTTTGTTTTTTTCTTCTTCTTGAAATTGTTTTGCTTCTCATCCAAGAAGCTTCTTCAGTTCTGACTGAATGGAACTTTCAGCAGTTTCAAGAAAATTCCATACACATTTGCATTCTGATTCAGGTGATCCTGAAAGCACAGATAAACCCCCAAGTGGCCTCAATGATTCTCAGAGAGAGCGCCAATGACCAGATGACTGCAAAGAACATAAATCCTTCCATTCTCCCACCACCACCACCACCATTCAGTCAGAACTGAAGAAGCTTCTTGGATGAGAAGTGAAATGTCTTCAAGGGGGAAAAAAAACAAAGAAAATCCATTGCCTTTTGGACAAAGCACCTTCATGACAACCATCACCTGGATGACAGAGAGTCTCCATAGACATTCAAGATGGTGACATTGATGGTCAAAGCTTTACCTTCAATCTACAAGACACATTTTAAAAGTTGCCGCTTCAATCACTCTGTCTTGATTGCCCTCTTCACTTTTTTTTCACCAAGGTCTGAGAACAACCCTACATCACTTGCTCTCATCCACATCCACATCCAATACATGATTTATTTTCAAAGCATGCAGCAGTTCATTGAAAGAGAACAAGAATTAGCAAGCCAAGGAAATGAAAGGCACGAAATAAGAAAAGGAAATATAGTTAAACCTACTGTTTCTCTCCATTCATACTTTTATTCTCACAAATGTTTTGCTTTCACCTTACACCATATCTTAATGCACTCAGCAGTCATCTTCTAATGCAAATGAAAAACCTCTCGGCAGCATAAAACTCCACTTCCCTTCCTAAATTTTCCTGATTGTCACCTCTCTCAGATAACAGATAATCAGAGTTGGAAGGGACCTTGTAGGTCATCTAGTCCAACCCCCTGCCCAAGCGGGAGACCCTACACCATTTCTGACAAATGGCAGTCCAATCTCTTCTTGAAAGTCTCAAGTGATGACACTCCCATGACTTCTGAGGGCAAGCTGTTCATAATCTGGCCAGCGGAATTAGGCCAAGTGCTTTCCCAACATGCTTAGCAAACCATTCTTCTGTTGTTTTTACATTCACCCTTTCTACCTTTTTCCAAATGGGCCCTCTGCTTTCTCTCATTCAGCTGAAATCTACTTATTTAGCCCTCTTCACCCACTTCCAAAGCAGTTTTTAAAACTTCCATCAAAGTCATTCTGCTTTCCTCTATCTCTTATCTCAAGGGTCTTCAAACTTGACAAGTTTAAGGCTTGTGGACCAACTTCCAGAATTCCTGAGCTAACATGACTGGAGGAGAAATTCTGGGAGTTGAAGTCCACAAGTCTTAAAGCTGTCAAGTTTGAAGACCCAATCTGCTGGCTTCATTCTTTACAACTATCTCCCCCTCTCTACTTCTATTATATAGTATGTTCCTCTTATCCTTATTCTTTGCATCATCAACGAACAACAAAAAGTAGGCTTGAAAGGTAATTATGTTTTAGAAGTTCAGCTGTGCTACTTTTGAGTTAGTAAATGTATTAATTCATGCATAAATCACATTTTCACCGAAAAGAGATCCAGTCGTATTGGTAGAGGTCAAAGGGTCAACCAGCTCAGCATCATGTTTTCACAGCACTTAATTAAACATCTTTAGGAAACAGGGCAGGATCAAGGAAAACTTACTCTGGTTATTGGTATTCAGACATAAATTCACTTCTGAGCATGAGAATTGCATTACAAATGTAGCAAGTAGATGAATTTATCTCACTCTTAAAGCCACACTAGATAACTGATGACCCCTTGACCCATCATTTCAGAGATGTTTCTCAGTGCCTTCAACAGTCAAAGAACTTCTGATGCACTTGAAAAATTATTAAAAATGAGGGAGATATTCAAAGACGTATCTGCCTTGAAATAGCCATGTTGAACTGTATAGGTTGTCCTTGTCTTATGACCAAAATTGGTGCCTGGAATTTCTGTTGTATATTGTTGCAATCATAAGTTGAGTTGCACTCAATTTTTGCAGTGATTGTTAAATCACTGTGGTTGTTAAACGATTCATGTGGTCTTTCAGCAAACCCAGTTTTCCCAAAGGATGTTTTTTGCTTTTTGGTGGTTTGGTTTGTCAAAAGTTTGCAAAAGGTGGCCACATGGCCTTGGGACACAGCAACAGTCATAAGTATGAATCAGTTGCCAAGCAGCTGAATTTTGGTCACATGATCATGGGGATGCTATAAAGGTCATAACTGTGAAAAATGGTCATAAGTCACATTTTTCAGTGCTATTGTTACTTGTTTGGATGTTCACTAAATGAATTATTGTAAATTGAGGACAACCTGTATTCCCTACATTTGAGGGTTTTTGGAAATTATCCTTCTGTGGGTTTGAAGAACATGACTGGATAGGATATCCATTTGCATGCAAGTCTCTGAGCAGCTGCTTTGGGTCTGCTCAATGCTACATTGTGCCATGGATTAGCATGTGCAATATCACTTAGACTTATATACCACTTCACAGCGCTTTACAGCCCACTCTAAGCGGTTTACAGAGTCAGCCTATTACTCCCAACAATTTGGGCCCTCATTTTACCCACCTCGGAAGGATGGAAGGCTGAGTCAACCTTGAGCCTGGTGGGACTTGAACTGCCAAATTGCAGGCAGCCGGCAGTCAGCAGAATTAGCCTGCAGTACTGCACTCTAACCACTGTGCCACCGTGGTTCAATTAGCATGTGCAATTAAATGACAGCAAAGACTTATTAGAAATTTCTAACTCATTATGCTATCTAATGGTCACTTAGATGTTTGCAGCTCAAATATGGAAGCTCCCTTCCCAACATTGGAATAGACTTTCCTGTTCAAGCAGGACTAGATGACCACCAAGGTCCCTTCCAACTCTGTTATTCTATGTCTACCATGGAGGAAGAACTTCCACCAAGGGATGTCAGCCAATTAATTCATTGGCAGGAGGGCTGGAGTTCAAGTCTATTCCCACTCCCTCCAGTAATCCTGTTAAATCAATTAATTCTGTGTTATTAACCAAAGGACTCAGCTGTTTGCTCGGTCCATTAGTTGGGTAATGGAAAGTAAAAAAAATCAGGGCTTCCAGAAAGAATGTGCAAAGGGAAGTCCCAATCCAATGCTGTGAGCTGCCCTCCATTATTTCAAAGAACAATAGGTGGGTGCACTGCATATTTTTCAGAAAGCTAAGATGGCATTTGATATCATGGAAGGGGTGATTTTTGCTCACATGTGTTTTTGGTTGGTCTAGATCCTGCGGAATCATGTGATGGTCCGAGTAGGTGGTGGCTGGGACACCTTGGAACACTATCTGGATAAGCATGACCCATGCCAGTGTACTTCCCTCTGTGAGTCCATTTCTGTTCCTTCAGTGTAATGTATGACTTTCCCTGCAATTCTACGTTTAGACTCCAAGAATGGCATCCATCAATCATATCTGAGTCATTGGGGGTTTTTTTGAGCCAGAAATGCATAAGTATCTCTGCTCTGCTAAAAAGATAGGATGCTTCCTCTGATGACATTTCTCTATTTTAAAAGTGCATCCGTGTACTGCAGATATCTCCTAGTTGGCGTGAGGCAAGACAATCTTTAGATTTAGAGATGCTACTTGCATAGAATAACGTGAGTATGCTTGGGTTAAAGCTCTGGTTGCCCTTATGTCATCAGATAATCCTTGAGTTACTACTTATAATGGAGCCTGCCCATTATGGTTGTAACTCATGACGGTTGTAAAACATGACTGATCCAATTTCATGGTTGTTGTTTTTTGTGGCATCCTGTGTAATCAAATCTGTGGTCACTAAAGGAACTCCAGGGTTGTTAAAGGAATTTTAAAAGCCTTAGTAAGAGTAAGTAACTGCATCCAGTTTTGGTTACCACATTATAAAAAAGATGTTGAGACTCTAGAAAAAGTACAGAGAAGAGCAACCAGGATGATTAGGGGACTGGAGACTAAAACATATGAAGAACGGTTACAGGAACTGGGCTTGGCTAGTCTAGAGAAGAGAAGGACCAGGGGAGACATGATAGCAGTCTTCCAATATTTGAGGGGCTGCCACAGAGAGGAAGGGGTCGAGCTATTTTCTAAAGCGCCTGTAGGCCAAACAAGGAATAATGGATGGAAACTGAACAAGGAGGGATTTAACCTGGAAATAAGGAGACACTTTCTGACAGTGAGAACAATCAACCCATGGAACAGCTTGCCCTCGGAAGTTGTGGGAGCGCCATCACTTGAGACTTTCAAGAAGAGATTGGACTGCCATTTGTCAGAAATGGTGTAGGGTCTCCTGCTTGGGCAGGGGGTTGGACTAGATGACCTACAAGGTCCCTTCCAACTCTGATTATCTGTTATCTGTTAACCAATGGTTTACTATGATTTTGCCAAAAACTGGATTACTGGTTTTCAGCAGAACTTCATAAAATACAATCCTACAGGAAACTATGAATGGCCATAAATGTGACTCAGTGCAGAGCACCTGAAGTGCAGTCCTCTGACTTCAGGGAGCCCTAGGAGTTGGAACTTGGAATCTGGGTCATAAGTACCCTCCAAGTAAGACTGCTGGAAATTGAAATGGTTGCTAAGCTACCAATTGTAAGTTGAGGCTGTTATATATGGCCAAATTGACTGGTGACCTAGTTCATGCCTTTTCAATTATGCTAAAAGCATGATGAGAAAGTCTCAATTGACCAACCTCAGTGTGGGGTTTGGAGGTCGATATCTATGGGCCTATCTGATTTTGACCTACAGTACATCTTGGCATGCAAAAGGAATAAATGGGATAAAGCCTGAATGAAATGAAAAAGTGACAAAAAGACGTGTTGTGTGTCTATGAAACCAGAAGCCGTTCTGGTCAATGTATGATCTCACAGAATTGAATATAGGCAATGACTGAAAAATGACGTTTATTGAGAAAGAAAAGGCTAAGTTGTGAGCATATAATTGTGTTCATTTAGATTGCTGTGCAATTGTTTGAAAATGGGATTTCTAAAAAATTAGTATAGTGATGAGTTTGGAGAAATGCTGTGCAACATTCTGAATGAATGTAATGTAATCCCAAGGGAAAAACAATCTTGTTAGTTGACATGAGAGAAAAGAGTACAGAAAAAGGGACTGGGCCTTTGGAAGTCTCAAGAATGAATGAGAATCATGACTGGCGAATGCTTGCTTAGAAATGAGCTTTCAAATAAGGGATTGAAGCAAAGTCTCTTAATAAAGATTAAGAGAATGGTGAAAGATATAAGGTGGTGAGAAATTTTGAATCAGAGTGTTCATTATTTGATTGGGGTCAAAATTGGGTCTCAAGAAAAAATGAACATAGAAGAAAAGAAAAACAGTTCAAAGAAACTGGAATGAAATTAGAACGTCTGCTGGAAGAGAAAGTATGAATATGTATTAGAAATATAGATTAACTTCCCAAAGGAATGAATGAAAGGGAATGTACAGAAAGAGAACATGGAAGCTGCTTTGAACCAAGTGGAAACAACTGAAGCAGGATAAGTTACTGTATGCACATGGGATGCATGAAAAAAGATGCTTAAGGACCTCGTGATGCACTTAACAATTGCAGTGATTTGCTTAATAACCATGGCCCCCCCAAAAAAGGTTTATAAAATTGGGTGCAACTCACTTAACCGTTTTGCTTTGCAATGGAAATTCTGGTTGCAATTGTGGCTGTAAGTTGAGGACTTATAAGGGAATGGATTCTGCAAACAATGAAGATGAGAGAAAGATATAATGTGTCTAGAGAAAAAATAATTCCAAAGGATGTATTCAAAGAGAGCAAGAATTGTATTAAATAAGATTAAAAATAAGATTAAATAAGATTAAAAAGCAGAGTACTTTTTATAAAAATAAAACATCTTTTGGAAATCAGAGAAAAGGGAAATTGGGAGAATAATGAATGGGGTTAAAAATAAAAGTGATTCTTTGGAATAAAAGAGGAGTGAATGTTCACCTCTTTTTATCAAGTCTCAAAGAAAGATAAAATACAACATAACGGAAAAAGAAAAATTGAGGAGAAATCAAAAAAGGTAAATGGTTAAAAAGTGATAAGAAAAAAAACCTGCTTCCTATATTGTTCAGTACATATGCAAATATATAATAACTTCTCACCCTTAAAGCAAAAACATAAAAACATCCTATAAAAATATACAAATCAAAATCAAAGTAACATTAGAATTATATAACAAAATAATATTTCACTTGAAGTTTAAACATACAAAAATATATACCTGTATATTCTTGTTTACGTGTATGTAAAAGTTTACGTGTATGTAAACTTGATTGCAAACTTGTTTGCAGGAAATACGATTTCAGCAACAGAGAGGTCAATGTCTGGAATACTCTACCTGACTCTGTGGTTTCTTCCCCAAACCCCAAAAACTTTAACTTTAGACTGTCTACTATTGACCTCACCCCTTTCCTAAGAGGCCTGTAGGGGGCGTGCATAAGCGCACCAATGTGCCTACTGTCCCTGTCCTGTTGTTTCTTTTTATTTTTCTTATATGTATCCATTTCATGTATTCATAACTATGTTATACTTTACCTGTTATCTTATAATCACTTGACTAAATAAATAAATAAATAAATAAATAAATAAATAAATAAATAAATAAATAAATAAAATGTATATGTAACAGAGGTGGTATTCAGCAGGTTCTGACCAGTTCTGGAGAACCGGTAGCAGAACCGGGAGTAAAAAAAAATTAATCCCACCATTGATGTGTAAACTTAGAATAAGATATTGTTTTGTGATATAATTCTAATAAACTTTACAGTCATAAACTTGATAATAGAATTTAAGAGCTAAGCTTCATTGTTAGACAGTGTACCTCTCTAATAATGCTTAGCTCTTTAATTCTATGATTATTTGAATTAGGGTTACAGGACTGTATTTGTACTTCAACTAATGTCATGACAGTGATAGCAAAGTTACAGAAAACTATTTTGCTATCTAATGGCTGTCCAGATTTTCACAGTCTAGACCTGATAGCCATACATTGAGTACAAATGAGTCAAATTAGACCCCTATCACCTCTCACCCAGCAGATCTCTTCAACTTTCCATCCTGATCCTTTTATTTTAAATAGATTCCTTTGAAAACATCTACAGGTTATATTTGCATAATGCTTAATCTGTACAAATCCATTGTCTAAATCTGTATAAACCATGATACCCAACACACTGATTCAGTGGGTTGTTAAAATACAACCAGAGCGAGAATTCAAAATGGCTTCTCTCTTGCTTCCCAGCCTCCATTTTTCCACAAAAGTAAAGGTGGTTATCCCAATAGTATAGTTTCTGGCTGTTGCTCTGAATTCTGAAATAAAAAATGGTTCACTGGCGCTAGTCATATTTCCTACCCATTGCTTTGGTAATAGAGTTTGTGGAATTAAAATGGGATTATGTGTCACCGTGTTTATGAGCTTCCTGGAAATTGGCAGTGGCAGGGAACAGATAACTGGATTAATTAACCCCTTGACCTGATACAGGACCCTAGAATCCCTGAAATTGTAATGTCAAAAGTTCTAGAGAGCTCCAGGCTTTGATATGCTACAACACTTCATTGTTACTGCTTTTTCTGCAGCTCACAAGCAGGCCTTGAAGATGGCCAGTCCTCAGAAAATGCAGGCTACCCAAGTTCAGCATGAGATCACAGCCCGTTTAACACCCAGGAAAGACAGCTGTAACAAGCCCCAGCCTGCCTTAATTGTGAGCAGATGCCAAAGTCCGCTGCCCCCTGTAGAGTGGAGGTCCTATCAGCCCCACAGTTTAGGTTCTGGGTGTAAGAAGGTTCAAGCATCCTCAGCTAATGGCGGCGGCAGCGGCAGCAAGAAAAACGAAGGACCACAGACATCCCAGGATCATTCAGAACCCAGGAAAGTCCCTTCAACAAGGTAATAGAAGAAACCACAGAATTTGTTTCCAAAATGTTTTTTAGTTCTGAGCAAAATTACTAAAATTAATTGGAGTATTGGAGTAATGCCACCTTTTCTTTATTTTCACCATAACTCTCTAGGTTAGCCTAAGAACCAGGGATGGGCTTCAAAATTTTTTAGCAAGAGGTTCTCTGCCCGGTTGCTGAGTGGGCGTAACCATGGTGGGTGTTGGCCTAGTCGGCTTCCTGCACTATGGTGGGGGTTGGGGGTGCTCTTTCCCTCCCCGGGTTCCGGAGGTTTTCCTCGAGCCTCCAGGAGGGCCAAAATGGCCTCCCTGGGCTCCGGAGGCTCTCTGGAAGCCGGAAACAGGCCAGTTTCTGGCCTTCCTGAACTTCTGGGAGGCCTGTTTTTCATGCTCCCCGAGCCTCTGCATTACCTGCATCTAAAACAGGCCGTGAGGGGACTCCTGGGGGGAGTGGGGGGGCAGCCAGGAGTAGG